GCTTGAGAAATACTGAACCTGTTCTTCCTTTTTGGTTTTCTGATTCCAGATCTTTGAACATTTTGTTGTAACATTTGGCTTTATCTTCTCAAGCTGATCTTTGAAATTTTCTATTCAGCTCTTGGATCTCCTCACTTCTTCCATTTGCTTTAGCATCTCTACACTGGAGAACAAGTTTCAGTGTCTCTTCTGACATCCATTTTGACCTTTCAATGACTATTAGCAGTTTTAAAAAGTAGCTCAGATGACTGGATTTATATTCTAATGGAAATCAAATTAAACTTGCCAGGCCTATCTCCTTTAAGACTGCATCTATGTACTGGTGTTCTGTTTTATGTAGGACGCATGCGCTTGAAAACCTGAGTCTAAATAATAAAGTTTTTATGAATTGAAATTTATTTTCCAGTTGTCTGGCATTACTACTTCATAGTTGCTTCTTTGTTCATTTCTGTTTGACTCTTAAGACAGCCACTATAGAAGTATGCTTCCAAGTCTTATAGTAAAGATCAGTAATCAGAGTCCTTGGGAAGGAGAGTGGAATGGAACTAGGAACCACAGGGAGGAGGCGGGGTGACTGTTGTTACCTGGAGGGGATTCCAATTATGGAGGTGAAACAAAGTGTATGATCTGTTTTATGTAAAACTGATGATCTGCTCTGTAAACCTTCACTCAATTTATAATAAAAATTGAAAAAATAATAATAATGAAATATGAGTATACTGAGATCACTTTGCATTTAAAAGGGATGCAGAGAATTATTTTGTTAGAAAAGATTGTCAGACACATTATGTCTTTGTCATGTGACTAGTCATCATCTACTATATGCCATTTTGTTTTTTTTTTTAAACTTTATTTTCAAATAATTTATTCCTAGGATTCTGCTGTTCAGGATCCTAGGAATAAATTGTTCTTATTGTTCCGCTGAGTCCATTCCAACTCATAGTGTCCCTGTAGAGGGTTCTGAGGCTTTAAATCTTTGAGGGAGCAGAAAGCCTCATCTTTTTCCTACACAGTGGCTGGTGGGTTCAAACTGCAGACCTTGTGGTTCACAGTCCAGAGCTTATATATAGAGCTACCACCCTCCCAACAAGAATTACAGGAGTTGATTATAGGCGCAATATCTTCAAATATCAGTTGGGCTTTTGTATGTTTTATAGGATAAGCTCCTGGCATGTCACTGTAGTACAGGCACTGGACTGTGAACCATAAGGTCAGCAGTTCAAACCCACCAGCTACTCATCGGAAGCCCTATACAGAGTTGCCATGTGTCGGAATTGACTTAACGGCACTTAACAACAAACTGCAGACCTTGTTTTAATGGGGCACAGGCAGAATGAAAGAAAGTGACGTCCATTTGTTACAAATACCTTTGAGTAAATGATGTAAAAGGTCCTGCACTTTTATGCAGTAGACAAGAATTTGGAAAGAACTCTCTTGAATTTCAATCATTATTTGGTTTCTCATATAAAGTGTAGTCGATGAAGGCACATTCTCTACACTCAGAGATTCTCCCTCAGCTTCTCCTATAAAGGGCAATAATAACTCACTTATAAAGTGCCATCAAACAGGTGTAACATAGCCGACTTCCTGACACAGTATCCTGAATCTGACATTCTTGAAAGCCATGATTGAAATGATATTTCTGAGCAAAAATAGTGACCTACCAAACCTTACCTTCTCTCTCTAAGTCCTCTTTTCAAACTCTCTCTGGATTACACGACAGGTGATCACTACAGGATAATGTACTGGACCACAAGTTCAGTTTGAACCTAAGGTCAGTAGTTCAAACTCACCAGCTGCCTCTTGGAAACCCTACACAGGGTTGCCATGGATCACGGCAATTAACAACAACAACAACAAAGTGGGATCATATATTAGCAGCAACAGTTAAGAAACCTTTACAATAAACATTCATATAGGTTTTTGAAATTATGATGAACTCTTTTATGTAACTAAAGAAAGCATGTTCTTGTCTTGTGTTGTCAAGTTGGCCATCCCTCCACTTTACCAAACATTATGTAATGGATGTTTCCAGCTGATCATATTTTGAGTTATGACCCATCAGTAAATAAAGATCCCAAAAGCTTTGCTCCATCCCATCATTAAGGTCAATTTTACTTTGCGGAGGCATCTCTTTCCTTGTGGCATTTTAAGTGCTTTCCAACCTAAGGGGCTCATCTGCTGGCATTATATCAGACAGTGTTCTACTGATATTCCTAAGGTTTTCAGTGACTTACCATTCATAAGTGGTCCACTTCTCCTTCCTAATTTGTCTTAGTCTGGAAGTTCTGCTGAAATTTGTCCACTGCGAGTGACCCTGATCATATTTAAAATACCAGTGGCATAGCTTCCAGCATCACAGCACACAAGCCACCACAGTGAGGGAAACTGACAGATGAGTGGCAAAAAGGATTAAAGGTGTGCAAGTAATCAGTTTATTAATTACTTGGCTTTGAAAAAGCTAATATGTTCTTGTATTTTAATAAGAGTATCTTTGATGTTTGAAAAGTTTTTTTAGTGCTGAAATTTATAAGCAAGAAGATTCAGAAGTTAAAAAACTGTCCAGCCTCCCGATCCCTGCCCAGCATGTATGAAAGGGTTTCAAAAAGTTTGTGAAAAAAAAATTTAATTATCTTTTTTTAAAAGTTTTTATTGTGAATTGAATGATAGTTTACATGGGAGAACATCAGTTTTACACTCATCCCATTATATTTCGTTTCATTGCAATGATCACAATCCCCTTCATGCATCATCATTCAAAAGTATTTGCTTCTGTTCCCTCTGTGGGTTTTTTTTGTATGTACACCCAAAAAACTCAGGAATATATAATCATTTAAATAACCAAAGGGCATATTCTTCAAGCCTGCCTCCTGGCTGCCAGCACACAGCCTTTCTCTTTGCATAAGTCTAGAGTCCTCAGTTGCTCTCTCTCCATGCTATCACCTCTGGTGTCGCTGCTTCTCTGGATAGGGTCCCACATTCCACTCATGCTCTTCTTCCTTGATGGTCCTAGGGTCCTCTGTTCCTGGGATGTAAGATTAACTACTCCCCACTTTTTGTTACAGAACTTCTACTTTTACAGTTGTTGACCATCACAGTTTGTCGTAATAGCAATTACTCACTATTGAATCATAAAACTCGTGTCCCCATCTCCTTTCACCAGACCCCTCTAGACAAGATGAAAACTATTCATTGGGGATTCTACCTTCACCTGCACACTCTGAAATTACACTGCCTCTTAAAAATTTGAAAGCTAGTCACTTCGTGCCTCTCCTCACCCCCATTTTAGGTACCCAATGTCTAAGTTGCCTATCCTTATAAACCTTGTGTATAGGCTTGATCTTTGATGTGAAGATTCCTTCCCTTCAGTTGGCATTTTGATAAGTATTGCCATTTTTTTATTCTAAGGAGCATTCTGGTTGCACTTCTGCCAAGATAGATTTTGTTTGTTCTTCTAGCAGTCCATAGTATACTAAATATTCCTTGCCAACACCGTAATTAAAATGCATTAATTCTTCTTTGGTCTTTCTCCTTCACTGGGCAGCTTTTGCATGTTTGAGTCAGGTGCACCTTAGTCCACAAGGTAACATGTTTGGTTTTTTTTACACTTTACAGAGGTCTCTTTATAGCGAATTTGCTCAGTGAAATACATCGTTTGATTTCTTAGCTGCTGCTTCCAGGGTGTGTGATTGTAGACCCAAGTAAAGTTAAATCCTTGGCAACTTCAATATTTTCACTGTTTATCATATTACTTATTGGTCCAGTTATAAGGATTTTTGTTTTCTGTATGTTAAGATGTGATCCATACTAAGACTGTGGTCCTTAATCTTCATCAATACATGCTTCAAGTCCTCTTCACTTTCAGCATACAAAGTTGTATCATCTTCCAATCCTGATGGCACTTGATGTTGTTGTTAAGTGCTTTTGAGTAGGTTCCAACTCATAGAGATCCTGTATAAGGTGTCCAAGGAGCACTTGGTGAGTTTGAACCACCAACCTTACAGTTCAAACTGACCTTGCAATCCAGTGCATTATCCACACCAGGACTTACTCCTTCACACCCACTAAGATGGCACTGGCAGCAGCCCAGGCTCTGGAAATCTTAATTATCTTTAAATTCCATGTTCCCATGATCTTTATGAAGCTTCCTGTTATATTTACCGAGAGGGACATAGCATCACAGATAACTTCAGTGATCTTTTTCATAATTAGTCTCTGGATAAATAAATGTTGACTCTACTTCTTTTTATATCTGAAAAGAGTGCTATATTGCTATTTGAGTTCTGCCTGGTTTCTAGACATTATCCCCCACAAGATCTGTGAGATTCAAAAATTTTGAAAGTAAGGAATGAGAGATTTGCAGCAGTTACTTGGTAGTTTGAGGGACTAACCCTGCCTTGCCATATGTGAGAGTTTGTAGAAAATTGCATGATGTGTTTCATGAAAGACATAATTTGTTTTTTGAACTACAACAACAAAAAGTAGAAAACTGTTCATCTTTTCCTTGTACCTGTAGAAATCGCTCTTTTCATTCGTCAGGTAGCCTCCTAAGCTAAAACGTATCAGGAACTTGGAATCTGCTGCTGCGTTCTATGAATTTATAATTTTTTTCAATTATGTGTTTTTTATCTTATGGTTTCTAATTGTACAATTTTGTGGTTAAACCAGACAAAGTCACTTGAGAATGGCAGAAAACAAAGGGCGAAAATTATCATTTGTACACAGCCGTATTGGACTATTTATTGTCAACCTAGAGTGAACTAACTACCCCACTGGTGCCCAGTTTAATAAACTATAATGGAATATATGTCTCAGCTTCATCTGCATGCACATCTTTATAAGATACTCTGCAAATTGCAATGGAAGGAAGCCACAGATATCTTTTCTCATTAAAAAAAAAGGGGGGGGAAGTTTATGGGAAGAACTCACTTAGCAACACACAAAAGCAACATCTGTGCTTCAACTCTTGTTTAATAAGGCAAATGCTTTTCTTTTAACAGAGGAATTCAAGGGCTCCACAGTTGTTGAATTGATGAAGAAGGAAGGCACCACCCTCGGCTTGACAGTATCTGGAGGAATTGATAAGGATGGCAAGCCAAGAGTATCAAATCTACGGCAAGGAGGCATTGCTGCTAGGTAACTGTATCTCTGCAAAAGGTCGGAAAATGAATAGAGGGGGTAAGGGATTCAGAAATCAAAGCTTCATTAGGAAAGGCCATTAATAAATAAATGACAGCTGCCATGTGCCAGGCAGCACCTGTGGTTCAGAAGCTGGCCCACAGGTCTGCCCATGTGGCTTTTCCAGCAGATACTCAGTCACCACGGAGATGCTTTTTTCATCTTAGGGGCAGCCAAGCCTTCATAAGGTCAGAATTTCAAAATCACTGTTTGAACAGCAGAGAAGCAACAGTGGGGAATGAGACACTTGAATCATCAGCTGTGGAACCTAAGATTTTTATGGAGGAAAACTTCCCTAGAGGGAAATGGTTAACCTAGGAAGAGTGAGAGGCCAACTCCAAGTTTCAGAGTAAAAATGTTACTTTTCCCACATCTGCTTACTTTCCTGATTATGGGATTCTTCTGTTCATCCAGACAGAAAGGTGGTTTCCAAAGAATAGAGGCCTTAGAGCAGGATATCTCATTTTGTTCTTCTTCCCAAGAACTACAACTTGAACCAGTATTGCAAACAATAGAATGTCCTGGAATGAGCCAGGGGGAGGTGGGGAGGAAATGTCAGAAGAGAGGAAGATTGATTTATTATGGAATTCTCAAATCACCTTAGAAAGGGGGGTTGGAGAGATCAGGTTTCCTTAAGATTGAAGTTAAAGTGCCTTACTTAAGGCTTAGACCAATATTCTTGGCCACATAATCTGAAATTAAGTTTTAGAGTTCTTGCTTAATAAAATGTGTGTAAAGTGTGGTATCTGAGGAGTCCTGGTGTGGCGCTATAGGGTAAGCACTAGACAGCTAACCACAAGATTGGTGGTTCAAACCCACCATCCTCTTCTCAGAACCCCTATACAGGTTCGTCATGAGTTGGAATCAACTTGATGGCACTTAACAACAACCACAACCAAATGTGACTTGAAGTATTGACAACTTTGTGTAACCCATCTTTTCATACAATTTATAAGCGTAACCCAGTGGCATGCTCCATGATCTGAAGGTATTGTTTGTAAGAGAGGCTGACCGGAACATGATTACCTTGATCTGTTTTCTTCAGGCTTTTTAAGAGACTTCTTTTCACACTCAAAGCCTCCTTTATTTTATAACAGCTAATCTGTGATGTTAGGACTTTGTATGTCTACAGAGCTTCTTCACATGAAACCCTCGAAAAAAGTGGGAATGAGGAAAAAATGCCATTTTTAGTTAGGCTAACGGTATGATTGAAAGAGTACAGTGTTTCATGGCGCTTTTTAACAATCAAAGGGCCAACGGAGATGGAAGCAGAGATGATGACGTGGAGAGACAGAGCAGCTGAGGACTCTAGAATCATGGAGGGAGAGGGGCTGTATGCTGACAGATGAGGGGCAGGCTTGCAGGGTGTGCCCTTTGGTTGTTTGAATGATTGTATAAGCAAATACTGTTGAATGATGAAGCATACAGGGGATTGTAATCATTACAGTGAAATGAAATACAATAGGATGAGTGTAAAGCTGATGTCTGCCCATGTAAACTATCACTCAATTCACAATAAAAACTTTTAAAAAAATTAAAGGGCCAACAGGTTAGGGAAAATCTGACTGAACATCTGACAGCCCCAGATTCTGTTCTACAGTTGAACAGGCAGCAGGAGTAAGAAGGACCCACTCAACCTCTGCTCCACCTCAGCTGTATTGCACAATTACTCCTCAGGGACAGCCATAGCCTTGTTGTTGCTGGTATGTGCTGTCAAGTCAGTTCTGACTCATTGCAACCCAGGAGCGGCTGGTGGGTTTGAATCACGGAACTTGTGGTTTAAACAGACCTTGTGGTCCAGCACTTTATCGTACAGCGCCACACCAGGATAGGTTGTTGTTGTTAAGCGCTGTTGAGTCGCTTCCAACCCATAATGACCCTGTATAGGGTTTCCAAGGAGTGACTGGTGAGCTTGAACCACCGACCTTGCAGTTCAAATGGCTTTGCAGTCTGGCGCATTAACCCACAGTGCCACACCAGAATAGACTAGGAGACAGAAATTTCTCCTGCTTATTGAACTTCTAGGCTCACAAGCTCATTTATGAGAGGAAAATGGGAAATACCACCAGATGATGCTCTGGAGAGAATGGGTCCACTGAATAGACATTCTCTGTTTTGCAGAAGTGATCAGCTGGATGTAGGCGATTACATCAAAGCAGTGAATGGAATCAACCTGGCCAAATTCCGCCATGATGAGATCATCAGTTTGCTGAAGAACGTTGGGGAAAGAGTGGTTCTGGAAGTTGAGTATGAGCTGCCTCCAGTTTGTAAGTACTCACAACCCAGGAGTAGAATGACTGCATCATTTTTTTTTTTTTTTTCTAAAGCAATTGGCTGTTCCCTAGCCCCTCCTACCCACTCCTATTTTGCAATCACTGGCTCATATTATGAATGTCAAGATTCCTTGAGAGTTTCTTGATATTTAAAAATATCTGAATGGAGAAGTTTATAGCCTATTCAGGAAGAATTAAAAGTGATCTTAGAGGGGATGTGATCCATTAAGGAGATCTGTGAATTCTATATAATGTACAGTGTTAGGAGCTTGGACTGTGCACCAGTAAATGTCAGTAGGATTTTTGTGAGGACTCAATGTATAAACATGCAAAGACTTCAAAATCATGGACATGCACTTAGTGGAAAACAAATCATAGCAGCTATTATAATTTTTATTATACACCAGGCACTGTGTTTTCTCCAGCTTTAAGAGAGTTGGTTTGCTTTGTAATCACTGCCTCAAACCATTGCTAAAGAGTTCAGAGAAACCAAATATCTGGAGCCGATGTTCTCTCTGATTGTGCATTTTAGTATGAATATCAATAAAACACACTTCAAAAGGAACTCTTAGAATGGCTTTCAAAAGTAAGGACAATAAAGCAGTGTAAAAGCCAAAGAGCCATGGGTCTAAGAGGCCAAAGACAAGAGTGAGGTGTGTCTTCAATATGGCAGACAAGAGGTGTTCCTGACTGGAGAACTGCTGTGTCCTGAGTGGGTTTTGATCCTGAATTATAACCCTGTTCACTTCCCTAATAAACCCCATAATCATATATTGGGGGAGGGGGCGAGTAAAGATTTGCTGAGCATATGGACGACTTAGAGTTGGGTTGGGAGGTGTTCTGAAAAGACTTGAAAGAGATTATGCAGGCCAAGCAGGAGAAGGAACATTCCAGGCAGGGAGTCAAGAAAAGATCCCAGTACATGAGTTGAACTGCCAACAGGCTGGAGTTGCTGAAGTATAAAGGGAATGGCAGAGTGGGCCTTGAGAGGGGTGAGGCCAGAGGTAAACAGAAGCCAAATAAATGATTGAGGGAATTGTGGGCGATATTGGTGGGGCTTGGGTGCATCCAGGAGGCAGTAAGGAACCTTTAAAAGCTTTTAAACCAGATCTGAGGTTTTAAAAGATCTATTATAGGAGAAAAGCTAAGAGGATCTATACTGTTAAATTTTCCAAAAGAGAGGTGTCTTTGGTAAACATCACAGAGGTAAAGAGCAGTGGTTGAGTCTGAGAAATAGTAGGTGTTAATATGTGTCACACCTTGGTGATTAGACCAGCTTTTCCTTCTTCATGTAATAAAACCCCTGGGAAAAGAAAAATGTACCTAGATTTTAAAGATAAAAGTGCAAATGAAAGAAGAGAGAGGTCTGTTTCTCGTGGATTATCTCTACTTTTTGTATTATGTTTGGAGAAATTAATAAGATCTTTTAGGTCATGAGGTCAAAAAAATTAATAAGCCGCCCCTTAGTTAGCTCAGACAGAGCTGAAGCTGGCTGTCTGCTGCTGAGCCCCTGAGAAGAGCAAGGGCTGCTGGGAGCTAAGTGGCCCAAGGCTGAGAGGCTGGTAACTCTCAATAATCACAGCAATTTGGAGCTTAGAGTCCTGAAAGAACCCAAAGACAAGAGAGTGTGTGTGTGTGTGTGTGTGTGTGTGTGTATGATCTGATGAAGGCAAATGAAGTTTGACCTCAGGCAAACCACTTATCTTTTCTGAGGTTTAATTTTATATATAAAAAAAAGATTGGATGGTCTACATGAGTTTTAATTTATTTTTTTTACTGAAAAATTCTGTGATGTTTTGAGACTGTGTTTAGTGAGAGCTTTGCCAAATTGTATCTTATTTATGTATTGGAAGTTGGCCTAGAGCAATGCCTTCAAACATTTTATGGTTCTGTAATGCCTAAAATAATTTTGAAATGTTATAGACCCTCACCCATTGCTTACTTAACACCTAAATGGATTTGTCATAGTTTAAACACTTGGAAAGGGTGTAATTTCCAGCATGTTATTCATTTTATGTCTTTAAGTTCAAAACTTGGAGCTACAGATTTACATCATTTACTTTTGGGAAAATGTTTGTCATAATTGGCTTAGACAGTCTCACTGTTAAACCATCAGCTAAATCAGACTAATTTTCTATCAGGAGTCTTTTCTTAATTAAAATAAATATGCTAATGTATGTCCCTGTGACAGCCTTGCTAATTTCTACTTCTTAGATAGATGGTTGATAGAATGATGATGGTGTTGGCAGTGGCAGGAGGAAGAGAGAACACAAAACTTTGCCCTGAAATTGAATCTGACATGAAATAGGGTCCAGCCCCTTCACTATTCCTTGCTGAAGGTCTCCGCATTGTTTCCAAGTGACTCACATTCAGGCGTACTTGCATTCTCAAACTTCCTCTTGGTTTCATACCTCAGAGATTTTACACCCCAGGCCAATGCATCCCAGTAAGATTGCACCCAACTGGGTGAAAAGTGTGTCTTTGGTATAGTAGGAAAAAAAGAATTTCAGAAACACAAGTGGAAAAGGAGAACTGGCAGACCACAAACTCATTGTCAGATGCCTCAATTTCAAGAAGATTTATATATGGAACTTGGGACTCTTCAAAATTATTCCCAGAAAGTCCCCATAAATTCTTTAGGTATCACCAAGAAGCAAGTATCTCAGTTTTAAGACAACTAGTCCAGAGTACTTACCATCTTTGAAAAGGATTGGTTTCATCTTATGTTAATTGCTGCATTTTTTTTTTATAAACTAGGAAGTCCAGATTATATGAGCAAGGAGCCTACCTGACAAAAAAGACAAAGCACCTACTCTGTAGATATGAAAATAGGGCCAAGGCATCCTTGTTCATAGTGGATCACTTGTTGGGTTGTTAACCACAAGGTCAGTAATTTGAACCCAATAGCTGCCCGGTGGAGGAAAGATGAACTATTTGCTCCCATAAAGATTCATAGCCTAGGGTCCTAAAGGGTCAATATGACTCAGAACTGACTCAGTGATGGTGGATTTAGACTTGGGCCTTCCATATTGTAATGGCTAAGGGGATTATTAGTTTTGGAATCAGCTAGACCAGGATCTTCATTCTACTTGGCTGTGTACCATTGAGGGAAGCTCTTAACCTGTCTTTGAGCTTCAATTTCCTCACATGTACATTGGATTTTTTTTTTTTTAATCTATTTCATAGGGTTATGATGAGGAATAAATAAGTTGGAGTCCTGGAGTAGCACTGTGGGCTAATGTGTCAGACTGCAAAGTCGTTTGAATTGCAAGGTCAGTGGTTCAAGCTCACCAGCTGCTCCTTGGAAACCCTATACAGGGTCGCTATGGCTTGGAATCAACTTGACGGCACTTAACAACAACAACAATACCTAGCACATAGAAGACACTCAATAAATGTCAGCAAATAGAAGTTTTTATGTGACAATCATTATTGTGTTGTTATTTATCAAATACTTATTTTCTGGCTATATTCAAGCATTATGCCAAGTGCTGTAGAAATAGGGGAAATTGGCTAAGGCTTCTGTCCTCAGAGTTTACATTCCAGTTAGCAAAAGAAATGTAAATATCTAATTAGCAATCCAAGCTGAAAAATATAAATTCTATAACAGTCGCAAAATCAAAGGGAACCCAAGCTTGCATATCAAAGAAACAAGGAAGACTGACTAGGTTTTTGATAGTTTGAGAACAGACATGGAGCCATTCAAGAGACAGAAAATGTATGAGCAGGCTCAAGTAGGTAGGGCATATTTGGCCAAGTTTCAGCAGTGAGAATCATACTAAATGGCCTGTTTACTGAGTGTGAGGTATGTCTAAGCTGAAAGGATAGTTTAGGTTTTGGCTACAGAAGCAAGATGATGAAGGACACGTTATCACTTGGAAAGTATTGTAATCAGATGCACACATTGTTCTACCGCTGTGTCTCTAAGACCTACCACCCCCACAAGTCAACCTAAATAAAGCAAATGTGGCTGCCCTGCCAAACTCAAGAGCAAGTATAACTGGAATCCTGAGGCTGAAAGATGGAATACAATTGATACTGTTCAGATGAATCACCCAAAAATTGCGTATCACAAACCAGGCATGGGCATCATGAAGGAACAATAGCTGAACCCAATAGCTAAACTACAACAGCTGCAATTGTAAGTCATTCGTTTTGAGTAAATAACTTACGAGGACCTTGGATTTTATGCTCTTGGCAACAGGGAGTTGCTGATATCTGAGCTTTGTTTTCCTTTTCTTCTTTTCTTGTGGTAATGGGAGAGTAGAAGTATCTACATATGCCTTCCTTTCCTCTCTTACCAAGAGAAGAAAAAGATCATGTACTTTAATCAAATTTCTTCAAATAGAAATAAGAAAACATTTGGCTTGAACTCAGTTTTTTTCTCATTTAATTAAAACTGTACCTCAACACTTTCAGCTATTTGTATGTATTTGATTAGAATAAACTGAAACTCCCCAATAGCAAGAATATGACATTTGATTAAATCAGCAGTGTACCAGTTGGTGGCCTAATACAATTAACATGTTTTTAAATTTCTCAGCAACTATTTCTGCAAAGTAATTCACTCCTAAATTCAGTGGCTGAAAACAATGTTCATTCATTCATTCTCACTCATGTGTCTGTGTGTTGGCTCATCTGATCTGGGCTAGACACACTTGGATACCAGATTATCTGTGAGTCTCAGTTTGACTCAGGTATCCTCGTGGTTCATTCCGGGATCCAGTCTCAAGGAACGGCAGCTTCTCGGGGGATGTTCATCATACCATTGATAGAGGGAAAAGAAGCCAAAGCAAGTCACAGGGCCAAACTCAGCACAGTGAGATTGGAAAATACACAAATCCTGTTCTACAAGGTACGGAGTGAGGGCAGGGGCAGGAAGGATTATGTAATTTTGAAAATCCTAATCTATCAGTTATAGTAAAATAAGTATACAGGAGTATATGCATCTTCACATATAGAAATAGGAACAACAGGACAACTAAAATACCAAGGAGACGTCTTTGTGAGTTTTGAAATTGGTTTCTAGCTTGCTCTTGTATATATCAGTGTATATACTTGGGCCCATGAACACACATGTAAAATACACATGGCAACACAGTATGCCTGATATTGAGTGTGAAGACCCAGTTCTCAAAAACCAGCTGTGCAAATAAAAGTTATAAAAGCCAAATCTGTTTCGTCCATTATGTTACAATATAGTCTGCATTCACATTTTTTATGGAGATGTAAATGATATAGAGCAATGGTGTGGGTAATCTAAAGCTGAAAATAATCCAAAAATTCTTTAAATTGACTTTAGATGTGATTTTCACAGTTTGTGGTCAATAAGATTAGCTGAGACAGCTTTAAAATTATATATAGTACTCTGAGCTCCCAGAACACATATCCAGCCAGCAAGGACAGGTGGCCCAGAAATAGAATTTGGTCACATGTAATTGAAAGTTGATTTAATGATTAAATGAAATGATGTTTGTAAAGTCCCAGCACACAGGAGACACTAATTAATTGTTTCTCCCATATCCTTTACTCATTAATTGTTTCTCCCATATCCTTTCCTTTCCTTCTTTTCCAAGGCAATAAAACGATCATGTTTTTAATCAATTTCCTCAAGTGGCTTGTGGGTCATGGAAATAAGAAAACATTTGGTTCAAATCCAGTTTTTTTGCATTTAATTAAAACTGTACCTCAACGCATTCAGCTATTTGTATGTGCTGTTCCTAGTCGATTAGAATAAACTGAAATTCCCTGGATGGCAAGAATATGATATTTAATTAAATCAGCAGTGTACCAAAACATTTGTTCAGCTGTAGGTTTATAATGTTTTCAACAGATCCAAGTTCTTATTGCATTTTATATCCCAACCGGGTAATGTGCAATTTTCTGAATTTAAATATTTACTTTTCATAATCATGTTCATTCCTTTGAGTGTTCAGAATTCCTGACAATTGAAAATAATTGTAATTAATGCTTAATTAAAACCAGTTACTAGTTCTGTAAATGACCACCAAAAAAAATGTTCTTATAAAACACGCCTTTAAATTTTGTCTACAAATCTCTTTTTGATAGTTTTCTGTACTAAATCCTTAAGGTCCTATAATGTTAATATAAAAATGTGTTCTTGATAGTGAACACAGATTTAGATAATTTGACAAATTCAAAACAAGGACCAAAAGCCATCAATTTATATAATTTACAAGTTTTCCTGTCTCCATAAAGAAGTATCCATAATAATAAAATGCTAATCTGTGTAAATTTTACTTTTTAAAAATGCAGCAAGAGTGTACTCTATAATGAGAATCGCTCACCAGTTTCTTGAAACTAGTCTTTCAGAATATTTGAGTGGTTTTTACCGTAATACAATTTATACCCTTATATATATGTTTATGTAATTAGAGATTACAACCTGACCATGCAATTTCATTTTATAACATGAGAGCAATCATCAGGCAAACACAGTATGACCATGATGGCATCAGTAAAATTCAGTAAACATTTATTTTTCAGTGAATAGTAATATCCCTAAAAGGATTTGTTGTTGTTAAGTGCCATCAAGTTGATTCTGACCCATAGCAACCTTGTATAGGGTTTAAAGAGAAACTAGTAAGCTTGAACCACCAAGCTTGTAGTTCAAATGACTTTGCAGTCTGACGCATTAGCCCACAGCACCACACCAGATGTCCTTTTATCCTATAAGTCTTAGTTGTATTGTTGATGTCTTTAGTTGATAGTTATTTAGCATGTCAGGACTTCTCTTACTATAGTGGGTTGTGTCTTAGGCTGCTAACTTCAAGGTCAGCAGTTAGAAACCACCAGCTAGTCTGAGGGAGAAAGATGAGGCTTTTA